GCATGTGGATGAACAAACCCAACCGTATGGAATCTTACATACCTCTTAGGGATTAAACCCATGGCGAAAATCTACAACAAAATGCAAGACTCTCGACGAACACTTTGATCCTCTCCTCTTTTCTCCTCTTTTCTCTTCTTTTCTCTTCTTGAACTCTCAACTAAAACCCTAGGCGTAAATTAGGATTATAATACTGAACCTAATAGGATTAGATCCTTAAATCTTACTAAAAATGAATTAAATCTGATTTGGTAAGGAAAAGACCAAAATACCCCTCTAAAATCCGGTTTTGACTTTCCTTATCTAGAAAACCCAACTTTGAATGGACATATGTCCCTCATACGAACTCGAAACTGAGAAAACTCTATGGCGTTGGAAATATAATTTAGATATTTCCTACGGTATCTAGTAGCACACCTAACTCGTCCTGAGTTAGGATTTATGGTCATTTGAAGTTGACCCAAAATTCATACTTAGCTTAACTTTTTCAAACTTTCCAAATTTGATTATTTCCAAAAATGATTTCTTTCCAATTCTAAGTCTTTATAGTTCTTTCAAAAAGTGAGGTGTTACAATATCTCCCCCATTGGATCATTCGCCCTTGAATGATGGCTGGACTGGGTATGAGACGGGGTTACTTTTATCATTTCTGCCATACTAACTAGAATTGTTCGCATTACTATTCGAAACCAACTAAGGGATCTCATAGAACTATTTCTCATAGTAAAACCTCATTCTCCTCTTCCTCCTCATTTATAACCTTAGATGGAATTATCACACCATCCCTATCACGATAAGAACATCAACTTCTTCTTTCTAACATCACATCATTACTAAAAAGACCTCTGAAAGGATATCTCCCATACTTTGGAACTCATTACTATCTTACTCTCAAACACTTGACTTGATTTCTCATCTTGTCATCTTCCCCTTGGGTCTAAAGCTGACACTTGAAAACTATGGACCTATTCCATCATCTCTAACTGGTCCTTATCTCTTTTACTCTAACACTCGAGATAAGTTTATCTCATGACTACCAAACTCTCAATAAGCGGGTACTCAGACCTCTTTCTAAGGTGTTTCTCTTAACTTCTTCTAATTACATACCACTTTGGTACACCTCTTAATGCTCTTGTTACTCTTGTGACTTCGCCACACTTCAGTGCCCTTATCTAAAGGTTAGGATCTCTCACTAATACTACTCATATTCATTAGAACTAACATCTCAATTCCTCACCTGCTCTATGTCAATTCTACTAGATCAAATCTCAAGACTAACATCATCACCCTCATGTTTCCATTCTTTGGATCATGACACTCATCTCAAATTCAAGCTTAATGTTCATTACTAAACATGAATATCAATACAATTGCTCACCTACGATGTTATACCTTATTGCTTGATCAGTTCTATAACCTTCTGAACATCATGACCCTCTAAAACAAATCACAAGCCTAGCTTAGATCAATCACTTTATGAATACTTTTTCTCTTCTATTCGACACTTACACTTGGTCATTACCTACACAATGACACTTCATCACAAACTCCTTTCTAGCTAGAACACACTCTACCTCCAATGATGGGATCTTCACAACTCATCAATTCTTAGTTTACCCATAAGGGAAAACTCCTCATCCATAACTTAATGGGTGCATGACTATAATAACATAATCTTCCCCATCAGTATCTCCCTTTCATAGATTACTAAACCCCTACATACTTTCCTCTAACTCTGGGCACTGTGATATACCGTGAGTTTACGGTATTTTTAATACATTTCACTTGAGAGTTGTGTGTGTCTAGGGCCATTTTGTATTGGTTTTTATCATGTTTTTATCATGTTTGCAGGAAATAAGTTCAGATGCGGAAGTCGAGAAACACAGTTGAAGAATGTTAAAAAAGGGCATCTATGGATGTGATTGACGGACCGTAGGTCCAATCACGTTCCGTAGATGGTGATCATAGATGGACGGGCAAGGATTGAAGGAGATTAGGGAATTATTGACCAAGTGTGGAACCACGGTCAAACGACGGACAGTAGATTGACTTACGGGCCGTACTGCAGTTTCGTCAAATCATTCAGAGAGGGGGTTTCGGTACCTGATTTTCAAGATTCTAAGTATGGAGCTACGGAGGAGGATCCATGGATAGTAGATCAAACCACGGTCCGTACTTTTGATCCGTCGATTGAGTCTGAGAGTGAAGATTTTGAAGCTGAAAATATTGCCTAAGTCCTGAGCTACGGAAGGGACTTACGGACCATAGGTCAATCCACCGACCATAGGTCAGTGTCGTAGATCAAAGCTGCGTCCTGAAACATTATTTTCTTATTTCATTTCCTTTTTAGTTAGGACTCATTTTTCTATATATATGGCATGTAAACCTCATTTTTGGGGGTTAGAATTTATTGTTTTAGTTCTAGTTTTTTGCTTTGGAGATTAACTTGGGATTTTAGCAATTTTTGATTTCCTAAGTTTGTTTTGAAGATTTTAACTTTGAAATTCAAGTTGAGATTCTGGGTTTATTCTTCTCATTACGTAAGTTCATGATTTCTTCATCTAAAAATATGAATTGTGTTATTGCTACTATGGGTAACTAAATCCACAACTAGGGTTGTGGGAACCATGAGCGATTAACAAAGTATGAATAGTAACTAAGTAATTCTTGAATAGTGTTATTGCATGCATTGATAATTCTTTCGTTTAGAAGTCTTTTTAATGAGTGCACACGTTAGAACTCGCCTTGTTGCTACTTGTCGGACCAAGGAGTTAGTTAATAAGAAAAGAATTATCAACATAAATTTAGTGTGATACTATCTAATAGTCTAATGTCAATTGGTGCGAGGGTGAAAACTAAGTCATACATCGATGTGATGTCTAATATGAGGTAACGGTAAGGGTTAGTAAATTATACACACGTAGCCGGACCAAGGTACGGGGTGAAATTCTCTAGTTCCCGAACCAAGGAATTAGAGATACCTAATTTATCACTTTGCATGTAATATACTAGGAAAGGATTACTATTACTAGGATTACCACGTTATGAGCATATGGGGAACACGTACACCCAAGTTTCTCTCTCATCTTCATAAGAACAAAAGCTTGAATCTTGCTTACTAATTTTTCACATAACTTTCAGAATTTGTTTCACAACCCCCCCTTTAATTACTTCTTTCGGAAGTACGTTGACTAAAATAATATAATCGTAAGCTGAACTTAAGTCTAAACCATATTCCTCGTGGGATCGACTCCAACCTACAAGTTGGTTCTTTACTTGATAATGATCGTGTACGCTTCTTTAGGGAGGTGTAATTTGAGCGTATCAAATTTTGGCACCGCTGCCGAGGAATAATGCTTTTAGATTAAGTTTAACTACATCATTGAACTTTTGTCAAATATTTCCTAATTTTACTTTTTCTTTTATTTTTGCTTCTCTCAGTATCCTACTCTAGTGTATACCAAGTACACGAAGCCAATGTGAGCCACTTACTCCTTACGACCCAGAATTGAACAGAGCTTTGTGAAGAATGAATAACCAAGGAGACCCAGTCAATCCTATCAGAGGAAATTTAGGTGATGGAGTTGGGTTGCAGCCTCCGAAGGTTGGTGATGAGAATAATCAGGTTCAAGATGAGAATCTATTGGGAGATGCACTGAGGGTACATGATCCACCAGGACCAAGACTGCGTGATAAATATAGGGTCAACTTGAATACCGTTGAATCTGAAGGACCTCTTTTCCTACCCCCTCTACCTCCGGGACATATATTTGTGGTGACTAGCAGTTTGATGCAGATGCTTATAGCGAGGGGTTCATTTGCTGGTTTGGCATCGGAAGATCCACATGCTCACGTAACCAAGCAAAGGAGTGTTTGAAAGAGTTGTGTGGGTTGACCGAACTTGGACATGGATGTCATTGGATTGCGAGTATTCCCTCTATCATTGACTGGCGATGCTGCTGTGTGGTTTAATGAGCTTTCTTATAACTCAATCTACACATGGGGACAACTAACTGAGGTGTTCTTTGCAAGATTCTTTCCTGTGTCAAAGAAGCTAAACCACAAAGATAAACTCAACAAATTCGTAGCATTACAGGGAGAGTTTGTGAGTATCTCTTGGGACAGGTTCACTGCTTTCATACGAAGTGTTCCAAATCACCGCATTGATGATGAATCGCTGAAAGAGTATTTCTACCGAGCTCAGGATGACAATAGTAAGGCGATGCTTGATACTATCGCTGGAGGCTCATATTGTGAGTGCACTTTTGAGCAGGTTGCGGAGAAACTGGAAAAAGATTTCCCAAAACAATAAAGCATGGAGCACTAGAAAGTCAGATACTGGGAGGAACACATTTTTCTTTCAAGCTACAAACAACCAGTCTGCGATGAGATTCGTGAGGAGATGGCTCAGATGAGGACCGAATTGGGGTTGGTATTGAAGCATGAGAGCAGAGGTGCGAATGAGGTAAATAATGTCAATTATTTGACTAGAAATCCACCACCGGGTGAGGAATGTTACTATGAAGAGGATACTTATGCGGTGAATGATCAGACAGGGGGTTTTCGAGCCAACGCCCAAGGTTCCAATACGGATAATTGTTGCCAAGGTCAGGGAAACCAAGGTCGGAACTATGGCAACTACAACCAAGAGGGTCAATATGTCCGGGATGGGAACTACAATTGTGACAACAACTACAACCGAAACAACTATGGCAACAAAAATGATCGGGTTGGACCTTATGTCCCTCCTCAAAATCGGGAAGCTGGAGGTAATATGTCACGTATTGAGGATATGATGTAGAAGATGATAAGAAGGTTTAATGCAACTGATCAGAATGTGAAGGAGATGCAAAATGACTTGTTTGGTATTGGTCAAAAAGTTGATACCCATGGAGTGTAAATCAAGCATCTTGAGTAGCAGATGACTCAGTTGTCTACTACAGTGAACCCACGTCAACCAGACACATTTCCTAGCAACACCATCCATAATCCAAAGAATGATGGGCATTGTATGGCAGTCACTACTCGAGGGGGGTAAGAAGACCATTGATCCACGGATGCTGTCTGGGGTTGAAGTTCAGGTTAGTAGAGATGATGATGTGATTGAGGTACATGAGGAGCCTGAGAATGCAATAGAGAAGGAAGCGGAGATAACTCAGAAAGTTGTTCCCATGCCTAGACCTCCACCTCCCTTCCCACAGAAGTTAGTGAAGAAGACTGAAGAAGGCAAATACCGCAAGTTTATTAGTATGTTGAAGCAGCTTTCCATCAATGTGCCGTTGATTGAAGCTTTGGAGCAAATGCTTGGGTATGCGAAGTTTATAAAGGATTTGGTTACTAAAAAGCAGGCCGTGAGTTTTGAAGATGATAATAAGTTGCAACATTGTAGTGCTATTGCTACACGGTCCCTTGTGCAGAAGAAGGAAGATCCTGGGGCTTTCACTATTCCTTGTACCATTGGGTTGCTACATTTTGCAAAGGCATTGTGCGATTTGGGTGCTAGTATCAATTTGATCCCATTGTCTATTTACAAGAAGCTAGGTTTAGGAGACCCAAAATCAACTTCGATGCGACTGTTTATGGCCGATAGAACTGTCAAGAAGCTCATCGGTGTGCTCCAAGATGTACTAGTGAAAGTGAAGTCTCTTATCTTTCCGGCGGATTTTGTGATACTTGATTGTGATGTTGATTTTGAGGTTCCCATTATCCTTGGGAGACCTTTCCTAGCCACTGGGCGCGCCTTGGTTGATATGGAGAAAGGGTAGATGAAGTTCTGATTGAACAATGAAAAGGCAACTTTCAATATCTCTAGATCCATGAAGTAGAGTAGTGAGCTTAAATCCGTATCTATGGTGACACATATTGTAGAGAGTGGTTCTGAGGTGCCTATTGAAGAAAGGTTGGGTGTTGATGCACTAGCAGCAATAATGATGAACTTTGATGGTGATGGTATTGAAGACTATGATGAATTGGTTGCCGCACTTGATAGGTTTGAATTCCGTTCAATACCAAAGAGATTGGAATTAGACATGAAGAATCGCGACACTCCACTTGCTAGACCGTCTGTTGAGGAGGCACCGAAATTGGAGTTTAAGGCTCTACCATCACATTTGAGGTATGTATTCTTGGGGAGAGATGGTACTTTACCGGTCATCATTGTGGCATATTTGAATATGGCACAAGTTTTAAGGCATTGGTTTCCGTGTTGAAGAGGTTCAAGCGAGCTATTGGGTGGACTATTGTATACATTATTGGGATTCCTCCTGGTATTTGTTCTCATAAAATTCAACTCATGCCAGATCACAAGCATAGTATTGAACACCAGAGAAGACTAAATATGCCTATTCAAGAGGTAGTTAAGAAGGAAATCATCATGTAGCTGGATGCTGAAGTTATTTATCCCATTGTAGATAGTAGTTGGGTGTCTCATGTTCAGTGTGTTCCCAAGAAAGGTGGGATTACTGTGGTACGTAATTAGAGAAATGGGCTTGTTCCGATGCGGCCTGTGACTGGATGGAGAGTCTGCATGGACTATCGGAAATTGAATGCTTGGATAGAAAAGGACCATTTTCCTATGTCGTTCATAGATCAGATGTTGGACCGACTTGCAGGTAAGGGTTGGTATTTGTTTCCTTGATGGTTATTCGGGCAATAATCAGATTTCTATAGCTCCGGAATACCAAGAGAAGACCACCTTCACTTGCCCTTATGGGACTTTTGCATTCAAACAGATGCCATTTGGGTTATGCAATACTCCAGTGACCTTCCAACGTTGTATGATGTCAATATTTTCTGATATGGTGGAGGAACTTCTATTAAGGTATTTATGGATTATTTCTTTGTGGTAGGTGATTCTTTTGATCGTTGTCTGGACCATTTGGCCGAGGTGCTTAAAAGATGTGAAGAGTGCAATCTTGTGCTAAATTGGGAGAAATGCCACTTCATGGTGAAAGAAGGGATAGTTCTAGGTCATCGGATTTATGAGAAGGGTATTGAGGTTGATAGAGCAAAAGTTGAGGTAATAGAAAAGCTTCCACCATCTATCTCTGTTAAAGGTGTTAGAAATTTTCTTGGGCATGCAGGTTTCTATAGGAGGTTTATCAAGGATTTCTCCAAAATTGCACATCCATTGTGCAAACTGCTCGAAAAGGAGTAAAATTTTGATTTTGATGATGCTTGTCTGAGAGCATTTGGAGAGTTGAAAGATAAGTTATTTACTGCACCTATCATTATTTCACCGGATTGGGGACAACCGTTTGAGGTAATGTGTGATGTGAGTGGAGTGATGCTTGGTGTAGTATTAGGACAAAGGCGAGAGAAGATTCTTCATCATATTTACTATGCTAGCAAAGCTCTAAATGTGGCTCAAAAGAACTATACAGTGACTGATCATGAGCTTCTTGCAATGGTTTTCGCATTCGAGAAATTTCGATCCTACTTTCTTGGTACTAAGGTCATTGTGCATACTGACCATTCTGCATTGAGGTATTTGATGGCTAAGGAGGATGCAAAACCGAGGTTGATTAGATGGGTGTTGTTACTGTAAAAGTTTGACTTTGTGGTGAAAGATAGAAAGGGGACAGAAAATCAGGTTGCCAATCACTTGTCTAGATTGAAGGAAGAAGTATGCTAAAGCTTGGTGATAGGGCTGAAATTAATGATGCTTTTCCAAATGAACATGTATTGGCTACTTCTCACGATCTGATTCCTTGGTTCGCAGACTTTGCTAACTATTTGGCAAGTGATCTGGTGCCATCACATTTATCTTTTCACCAAAGGAAAAATTTATGCATGATGTGAATAAATTTTTTTGGGATGAACCTTATTTTTATCGTAGTTGTGCTGATGGGATCATTCGTCGTTGTTTGCCCGATGTCGAGATGTTGAATATACTAGAGGCGTACCATTCATCGCATGTTGGTAGGCATCATAGTGGTATTCGGACTGCGCTTAAGATTTTTCAGTGTGGGTATTACTGGCCTACCATCCACCAAGATGCTCATGATTTCGCCAAGTCTTGTGACCATTGCCAAAGAGAAGGAGGAATTTCACAGAGGCAAGAGCTTCCTATGAATCCTATATTGGTGATAGAGTTGTTTGATGTAATGGGCATTGATTTTATGAGTCCATTTGTGCATTCACATTGGATGAATTATATTCTTGTTGCGTTTGATTATGTATCAAAGTGGGTGGAAGCAATTGCGCTTTCCAACAATGAACGTAAGAGTGTCACCGCATTCTTGAAAAAGAATATCTTCTCCAAATTTGGTACACCTAGGGCGATTATCAGCGATGGAGGTTCCCACTGTTGTAATAAGTTGTTCAAGGCGTTACTTGAGAAATATGGCGTTCGCCATAATGTAGCCACTCCTTACCATCCGAAGTCTAATGGGCAAGTTGAAGTGTCCAACACAGAGATCAAGCAAATTTTGGCAAAGACTATGAATGCTAACAAAACGGATTTGTCAAGGAAGCTTGATGATGCTCTATGGGCCTATCGCACCGCATTCAAGACTCCCATAGGTATGTCCCCCTACCAACTTGTATATGGGAAGTCTTGCCATTTGCCAATAGAGCTAGAGCATAAGACTATGTGGGCGATAAAGAAGCTAAATTTGGATTGGGGCGCCACATCAAATAAGAGAATGAGTTACTTGAATGAGCTTGATGAGTTTCTCCTAAGAGCTTATGAAAATTCAGTCTTGTACAAGGAGAAGATGAAGAAGTACCATGATTAAAGGATTGAAAAATGTGAATTTGTTATGAGTGTTCTTGTGCTTCTATTCAACTCTAGGTTGCGCTTGTTTCCGGGAAAGCTCAAGTCCAGGTGGACCGGGCCATTCTTAGTCACACAAATGCTCCCACATGGAGCAGTGGAGCTTGAGAACAGCGAGGGACCAAGATTTAAGGTAAATGGGCAAAGGATCAAGATCTATTTGGGAAACGCAGAAAGTGTGCAAGAAGTTGTTGAGGCCTACTATCTTGATGAAGTTTGAGTAATCAAGAGGCATGCGTCGTGCCGCGACGTTAAATCAAGCGCTGCTTGGGAGGCAACCCAAGATGTACAATCTAGCCAACTATAGGTTTTTCTTTTCGATTTAGTAGTTTTCTTTGTTTATTTATTTTTCTGTATTCCTTTAGATAGGTGCTTCATTTTTGTTTTAGTATTGGCTAGATATAGCATAGGGTCTGTGTTTAAAAAGTGTCCAAAAATATATAAAAAAAGGCCTAACGGTTGCTACATGCGCAGGGGTGAAAAACAAAATCTGCACGAAGCATTATGTTACAGAGGTCTACAGACCCCATCGACGGTCAGTGGTTCATGACAATGAATGGCGTCCGTAGAACCCAGGTATGTTCTATGAATTTTCTAAGTGTAAGAGTGACCTACGGATCCCATCTATGGACCGTAGACGGGGCTCGTGGGTACAAACCCTAATTCTGCTTGACCCGACCCGGGCCACTTTTAAATAAAATCCCCCCATTTTCAAATCATTTCCCACTTCTATTATTACACCCTAATTGTTTCTAAACCCATCAAATTCCTAAAATCTCTCCATATTACCACCACTCACCCTCTAATCACTCCACATTCATCTTTCCATTTCCCAAAATCACTCTATTTTCCCCCCAAATCCCTTCATCCCCATTTTCAGAGTTCCGGTATCCGGTTCGGTGCAAAAGGCGAGTAAAAAAGTTGTTGGAAGTCTAGAGTGATCACACAATCACCCATTTTTGTTGCTTGTAGGGTAATCGACTTTCCCTTCACTTTGAATTTCGATTCATTGTTGTGTAGAAAGTCAAGAAGTGGTTCTTTACCTTGGGTAGTTGTTGTATGAAATTACATACTAAACTAAAACTATAAACACCCTTGGGACGATATATTATGATTGTGTTGTCTTTATAATGGGTAAAATTAGTGAAATAAAAGTCTAAATGCAAGTTTCAACTAAGGGTTCCAAGCCTCGTATGCCATACCTGTTAAAAATTCATTAATTGGAGCCCTTGGGATGACAAACGAGCATAAATTATGTTGAAATGCATGATTAGGCTAAGGTCAATAGGTTTGTATTGATAAAATTTGGTTTCGAAGTGAAGAGTGCCTGATACCTGACACAAACCTGATCCACGAGACCCCATCTACGGACCGTAGATCAGGTCTGTGGTTGGTGGCACATAGCAACTCCATGAAGTGTGGAACCACAGAGGTGGACTTCGGTCCGTAGGTCAATCTATGGACCATTCTGCACATCCGTGGTTCCCATCAGAGCCCACCTATTTGGGACTTCTGATCTACAGAGGGGATCCACGGACCGTAGGTCAGCCTACGAACGGTAGATACCCACCGTAGGTCGCCATTGAAGCCATTATTTGAAAAACAAATTATTTTTTGGTTTGGTTCATTCTTAGTTCTGAAAAAATTTCGAGTGTGTTATGGGTTTATTTTGGTACTAATTATACATCCACATGTACATGGCTCCTAAGAAACAAGTGATCTACACAAAGAGGAGCAAAACAAAATCTGTGGCGCTTACTTTTAGACTGATTGATGAAGACATAGATGCGGAGAAGGATCCCGCATATGTTCCACCGGCCACAAGGACATCCCCTACTGCACCTCGGGATACTCGGAATCAATCCTAGTAGGTGGTCACCGACATAGTTACTGTCTCCCAGTTTGTTGAGGAGAACACACTGATCGGGTCATCGACTGGTTCTGCTTCCAGCTCTGCGACTGGTTCTGCTTCCGTCTTGAGTCCGCCCC